CGCTGTTGGTTTATTAACTTTAGGCGTAAGCGAAATAATATTTTGACATAATGTTCAAACATATTACGGCGTGTTAGATCCCTCCTCTGACCGTAAAGTGCTATCTCCCAAACCAGATGGGCCCTCTCAAGTCAAAATGCCATATTTACAAGTCAAACATTCTATGAAAATGTGTGAATATTAGTGCACGTGCTCAGCGCTTGTGTTCTTGGAGATGGTTTTTAAACAAGGCATCTAATTATGCGTCTGACTGGCACGATCTGTATTTACGTGTTCGGGATTGTAAATATAATCACTGGCGTGACACCATGTGAGATGGGATTATGACACTCTGGCCATCGTTATTGTTAATCTTTGACACGATTTCCCCTATTAGAACACGCTGAGATAAGCATTTCAAGTATGTTTCTCGGGTAGTTGTGCGCGACGCGTAGAAAAGCAGGGACCGTGTAAAATGTGGTCGAATAAGGATTCATATCAGTTATGAGTGAGTGAGTTAATATTTAACGTCACATCGGCAATATTTCAGCCATATCGTGACAACATATCAGTTATGAAACGTGAATAATATGTTTAATATTATTTTAATATTCGAATAATTTAATATTTGAAAGGCTAATACTTCTACAATTAGGTTTATTCGCTATTTGTGATACATGATGTATTTGTATATTATTATTCTTCTTATCATTAAATGTTGATCATTTTCATATGGGTTGTATGGAAATAATATGAAAGATATGATAATATTTATTACAACACATTCCTTTAAAGAACAGATGCAACGTACAACAAAGCTACAACTGACATATACACAACCACATGAAATATGCATACATTGATTGCACTGTAGCAAAGTAAGTCACGAATTTAGGTTATGAAATCATGAAGTGTCATTATTTATTGGTTTAAACTGTAGATATGAAAACAAAAGATATTGATTGAGGGGATATCAATTTTGGAGAAATTACAGTGGAACAGTCAATTGTCGTCTGAGTAATTAATTTAGGTAACTTCGTTAAGTGATATTTTACATAGTGTCGTTTGTTCTTGTATATGTTTTATACTATGACTTAGTGCTTCGAATCGTCTACCGAGGTGCATGCTGGCCAGAGGTTTTGATTCACGTGGAAAGGCGCTATATAAATGGCCTATTATTATTATTATTCACAGGTGTCGACGCCAATCAAGCTCCAGTTGAAGTTAATAGTTACCTCGTTTCGTGAAATGTACACGGTATTTTCTTCTCCCTTCTCTTACGGTTGAGAAGATATGGTGTTAACTTGAGATCATGCATTACCTGTCTGTATGTTGCTAGTTTATTTGAGCAGATCATGCGCATGTATTCCCTTAAGTGTAGGTATTATTTTATAAAAATATATATATTCCAAAATCGACCACTATTTGTCTTTGACAAAGGACCCATCACACCTAGATGTTTCTGAAATGGATGTTTTGTTCGTTGTTCATCAGCTTGGTGGTCCGATATGAAAGTTAAGTATGGTGACAATGTCGGTCCAGGTGTCGACGCCTAATGAATAGGCCATTTGGCGCTTGCTGAGGGTCGCTGACTTATAAGGCCTCGGTCAACATGGCCAGCCTAAATGATTACCTAATGAGCATGTGTTTGATCAACTACTATTATTACATCACTAATAAGGGCTGCAACATTGTCGGGAAGTAACTATTTAATCTCCAGGGGTCAAGAGGGCATTACGCATGCGCTGTAGGGAGTCGACAGGAACTCCGCGTAGCGACACGGGCGTGTGCCGAGTTTTGAGAGGCGATTATGTGTTGTTTCAATGTAAATATTTGGATCAAGGTCACATTAAGATGTATTGTCCGTGCTTGTTTGTTTACTCTTATAGTAAGCTGGGTTTTAGAATTTTTGAGAATAATATCCTTAAATTAGAAGTCATTCAATTTTGTCGCCATTGATTTTTCTGACATTGGACATGGAGTTGATTTACGACTGCTGCCATTTTTATCATAATCGGGTTTAGGAGGATTTTTTTGTGTTTGTGATTTTTGTTGAATTGGAACGGGTCACGCACATTATACAAACATACTTCGAAAGAACATGCTATCGGATGGCAGTCTTCACAATGGACTCTAATCATAAAGATTTCAAAACCCCAAACAAACATATTTTTATACCATTACAAAAGTGTGTTGTCTTCCGAACTGAGTTCATATATAAGAGTCTCGAACAATTCACAAATGGTAACGAATGGTATTTATTATTCTTCCTCATAATCGGGCGAGACAATTTTAAGATATTTGGATATTTGGAGGAACCGTAAGTGTTGTTTATTTAGTTGCGAGCTGTAAATCTGAGCGACATTAGTTGTTTGGGGAAACTTTTAAGTGTTTCTAGCCCTCCATTTATCAGCGGGAACTTATCGTTTGGTCACATGATCATGTCCATTAGTCTTTATCCAATCAAAATCTCATAACGCTGTAGGGAGCTTTGAGATAGCGGCGTAACAAAATGGAAGTAACGAGACCGCTGTGCGAGTCCGATTAGAATCGGGGAAAGTTGCGAATTGTCTGATACTGTAAACCCCCTCCCAGCTTGCGTTTTGAGGGAAGAGGATGTGGGTTTATATCTACTCAAAATGTTTTGGTTTAGGGCAAGTTCACACATGACAACATATTGGACCCCCTGTGTATGTAATTAGCAAAATTTGACGAATATTTATCAGAGATGCGAAGTTGTCAAAACAACTCATGGTCTCTCAGCATGTAATCCTCGTGGAAACTTCTCGCGTCCCCCCAAACTCATTTTGTCAGCGTGTTTAAGTCGTTTCACGGCCATCGAAGAAAGTTGTGAAAATTTGACTACAGTTCTCAGCGTCCCAGCGTGGTTGACAGTAAAAGTGAGATCTCATTAGCCCTTTCTGATACGAACAAGGATGTGTTAATGAGCGTGGTCTGGTGTAGATCGTCCAAGACTTATGTGTGAAATATCTTCCTTCCCTTTGTGTTCCTGTCAAGCCAATACAATGGGGGTCTAATTCACTGGTCTTACATCATGGGATTATCTCCCGTTATCCAAGCTAATGCCAAGGAGAGATTAAGTCAAAATATGGACATGACTAGTTATTCAACTTAAATGATAACACGAGCAGTTCAATCCCGACAAAGCAATCCGATTTCTTTTCAGCTAACCAATTCATATTTTGTGATGGGTTGACGGGAATTCATGACCTGGAGTGCCGTTTCTTTGTGTTTTGACATTGATAAGTAGTCGGGGTACCTGACACGCAAATTCTTAATCTGTTTTGGTATAAATCCAACGATCTCGCAACAAGCAATCAGTACCAAGTCTTAGCATGTAAGTTATGTATTTTTGATTTCCACTATTTCATCATCACAAATTTAGCTATAAATATTTAACATTTTAGGAAAAGACATAGTTTGTTTGATTCTATTTTTATTTTTAACCCACTGTGTTATTTCATTTTTGGTAAGCATGCAGTCACAATGTTTGAGGTAGTTCGGTTAAGAATATACTTGATTTAACAATAACAAGAAGAATATTCTTTTTCATATCGCTCATTTCTGACTATTTAATTTGACGGAATAAAGAATATATAAGTTTATTCAAATATTTTATTCCAATTAATACATATCAAATTTGAAATTATTAAATCACTTTCTATATAAGAGACAGTTTTGGCGCGAACGCTACACATTTCAATATTAATGATTGGCCCTAATGAACAATCTCTTTCTTGTTGAGTCCGGGTATTTTTCGAATTCTTACTAAAGCCCCCAGGACATCAGGTGTATGTGTGCTTAAAGTTGCTCTGTGAGTCAACCCAAGCAAAGTACACGGACCCCTTGTGCTAACAAGTTACCCGATCCCAACGGAACCCCTGGATAGTTCAGACCGTAGGAAATGTAACACCATCGCGCACTCTTGGTAAATAAAATCAAATAATGTAATTAAAAGTTATGAATTTTAACATTACTGATCTAAAACACTCTTCGCTATGTGATATTAAAATCAGCTACTTTCAAAACCAGCTTTTCAAACGGTTCGCTTTATAGTCCATATTGGACTGTATGTACACCCGCCGACCTCGAGGAAACTGTCAAAATGATCACGTACAACCTCAATTAATACATTGCCATAAATGTCTCCCTAATATGACAACTGGTAGCTTTGCCTATAACAGGTTACCGTGTTTGACGATGACTTTTCATTTGATTTAAGTCCCTGTATCACATCACCGAGTTATAACTCGGGACATGCTCTCTGTATATGTGCACGGTTCGGTTTGGTCCTTAGGTCGGGAAAAGCTTAATAAAACCTTCTTCGGTTAGATTATTTTGTTTTCTACCCTAACTAAACACGTTTAACGTCAGACCCCGAGAACGGTGTGGTTTGAACAAAAGGGGTGCATGATCGACACAGAGGGACTGAATTCGCTTTACTCCAAATCGTCGTTGGGCAAAATTTGTGCGGACCTCTAGCGTGTGTGTGTATTCCAAGGCGATGTAGCCCATTGAAAGTGTTGTAAACCTCTTTCACCGGGCGCTCTTTCCACAAATATCATGGTGACTTTGTCAGATCATTCTTTCATAGACATGGCAGGCTGTGCACAAAAGGGTACATTTCGTCGCGTACCGATTAGGCGCTTCAACTGTGTCCCATTCTACCCGTAACAGCGTGCTACCGTGTCGAATAAAAAGTCTTCTTTATCGAGTCGTCCACAATAGAAATCTTTAGTGGGGAACACACGTATGAATAGCGTCGACTATAGAACTTCACCAGGCCATTGAGCGGTCCTTTATTCGACTAAACTATTATTTGAGCAAGCCAGTCGCCCAACACGAAAATGTCTATTAATGAACTCCCTTGCGTTGACGAAGCGGCAGTGTTGTAACTCGCATGTAGTGTCATTTTTATACTACTTATTCGTGGCTCTGTACACAAACAGTGTCCCGGCCGAGACTTCGCTATTCTCACATAGTCCTGTCTTTATTTTCAGAGCCCGCTCAGAGAAGCGCCTCAACGCCGCTGTAACCAGAGCCCGCCTTCGCCCCGCCCCACCAATTTGCTCAAGCCTCCCCGGAATCTGATTGGATTACGCTCGCGTGACTGACAGGTGACGTCATTTGTCAGAGTGTCTAATGAGCTGTGAAAGTGGCAGTCGAGGGCGAGAGCCATGACGACTGATAGATGCTAGTTCGGAGGTAAAATTTGGATGTGCCCAAACATCAAGGCAGTCGTCTGCTCTCCCACGGTGGGATATCGTCTTGTGGAATACTTTTCACCTGTTTGTAGAGATTCGTTTACTCGTCTACCTGAAAGCACGCTGCGTGTCAAAGGCATGCTCGGTGTTCTGTAAGGATAAGAAGATTTGGACTTATAGTTCTGACAGAACTGACCGGAGTTAATCACAACAGAAGGACAACCGATATGCATTCACTGGAATAATTCACTAGCATGAGCAGAGCACGTTTGTTTTTGTGGCAGCAGACGACGAAAAATGTGTTAGCCTGCGCGTATTGAACAAGCATTACTTATTCCAAGTGAGAGAGTATCCAAGTTATAGCTCAGCATGGGCAGTGACGGAGGACCCCCCTTCCTCTGGCTCGTCATCACGGGGCTTCTCCCCCTTCTCCTGTCCCTCCCTTGTGCCCAGGGGACAGATCAACCCAGGAAATGTCAGGAAATCACAATACCCATGTGCAAGAGTATCGGGTACAATAATACCTACATGCCCAACCAGTTCAACCATGAGACCCAAGAAGAGGCAGGACTTGAGGTTCATCAATTTTGGCCTCTTGTGGAAATTCAGTGCTCGGCTGACTTGAAGTTTTTTCTGTGTTCGATGTATGCGCCGATCTGTATGACAAATTACAAGAAACATCTCCCTGCCTGTCGATCGGTCTGTGAGAGAGCCAAGAAAGGATGCGCGCCTCTAATGAGACAGTATGGTTTTGCCTGGCCTGAGAGAATGAATTGTGAAAATCTACCTGAATACGGCGACAAGGATCATTTATGTATGGATGTAAACACAACCGACACTCAAACACAAGCTCCACCCAGGGACGGTGGCTCGACAGGTAAACCTACCGACGGGTCCTTGTTCAATCCCAGCCTCCCAAGAGAAGCGGGGGTTCAGCCCCTCCCCGGGGCCCCAACAAGGTCCACGGAAAGGGACTGCACTTGTCAATGTCGTGAACCTCTTGTGAAAATAATAGAAGATTCAAACGGCTATTACAATCGCATATCTACAGGCGGAATTCCAAACTGCGCTGTTAACTGTTACAGTCCTTACTTCACCCAAGACGAAAGAACTTTTGCGACATTCTGGATCGGTTTGTGGTCAATTCTTTGCTGCATATCCACCTCGATGACAGTGAGTACCTTTTTCATAGACATGCAGAGATTCAAATACCCAGAGAGGCCCATCATCTTCCTAAGTGCGTGCTATTTCATGGTAAGTGTTGGATACATTATTCGCCTGATCGTCGGCCACGAACAGGTGGCATGTGACAATGATATGATCCGCTATGAAACAACAGGGCCCGCCGTTTGCACAGTTGTGTTCTTACTGATATACTTTTTCGGCATGGCATCGTCAATTTGGTGGGTCATACTGTCTTTCACGTGGTTCCTGGCAGCAGGCCTCAAATGGGGACAAGAAGCGATTGCCAGTTACTCCCAATATTTCCATCTCGCCGCCTGGCTCATTCCGTCGGTGAAAAGCATCGCCGTGTTGGCGATGTCGTCTGTGGACGGGGACCCTGTTGCAGGAATATGTTACGTTGGGGGACAAAATATCGAGAATCTCAGAGGATTTGTTCTAGCACCATTATTTGTGTACCTTATCATCGGAACCTCGTTCCTTCTCGCCGGATTCGTTTCGTTGTTTAGGATCAGAAACGTTATTAAGCAACAGGGAAGAGGGAAGACTGATAAACTCGAACGCCTGATGATTCGAATTGGGGTGTTCTCAGTGTTGTACACTGTGCCCGCCACCATTGTGATCGCCTGTTACTTTTACGAACAGCATTTGCGTCAGGCTTGGGAGCGGACATGGGCCTGTCCCCCCTGCGGCAAAGAGTCCCCTGGGTCGAGGCCGGACTATAGTGTATTTATGTTGAAATATTTTATGTGTCTTGTTGTGGGAATCACGTCCGGATTCTGGATTTGGACTGGAAAAACCGTGGACTCTTGGAGAAATTTATTCCATGGGAAACTGTGCCACAAACATTCTTATAGTCATCCGAGTAGAATGATGACAAAATATACCAACCCGTCCTACCAGGGTGCAAAACCCCAACCTCTAAGTCACGTGTGACTTGGGGAGACTTGAGGCGTACTGAGATTAGAAACACGGACTTCCGGGACACTGTTTTGACCGTTGGTGCAGAAGCTGTGTGTGACGTGAAATGCTCAGAATACTTAAAGAAACTACTCGGGAAATCAAGAAAACTAGAGCTAATTCTGAGCTATTTATTTTCTAAAATACTCAGAAAGTGTATTTTACGTATGTTGTGAGGATATTTTGTTTATTTATTACTGAACAACTTTATATGGTTCATCTAGTACTTGTATGTGGAACTGTTATGAAACTAATATTTATACTAAAGGATATTTTGAACATTTGTTTTGAAATTCTCACTAAGATTATGAGAAATTTGTATTGTCTCAAAACTATGATGTTTTATGACGAATGCAGAAACCTCGATTCTGACTATCACTAGGTTTCTTGTTTCCAACCGAGACTGTTTCCCTGAAGACAACTGTTCATTACGAGGAAATATGGACCTCAGAGACCTTTCAGTTTTTGTGTTAATGTTTAAGGTGCATTGTACATATAGATATTGTGAATTGGGCGTTAGCCAGCTGGCTTCTGCGATCCTCTGAGGATGCTTTCAACGTTGATGCGTCCAATTTGTGCAGCGTTCAATTGTGACAATTCTGTAATGGACGTTTTAAAGGCAATATACAAAGTGAAATGTAATTTTTGTACATATTTTTCCACAACGAGAATATGTAAGAGTGCAAATGGATCCTGCAACAACGAGAATAATTGCCAGCAGTGCTACCAAAAGTGGAACTGAATTGATCCGAACTGTGTTTGATCAACGGTGTTTTTGTTTGATCTGGCAAAGCGTTGGAGGAACGGCAGGCCGCCATTCCTTCGAAAAAAAAGATTCTATAATCTTCGTGGAACTTCCGCATACGGGTTCTAGCTGCTGTTTGTACGACCTGATGTACTAGTAATTGCAATTTGTAGAAAAGACAGCCCTACATACATGTTAAAGTGTCGTTCCTTTTTCTTTTTGCTTTTTTACGCCCGGGGGTATAACCCACAGTGGCTGGGGCCTTTCACAAGGGGACAATGCCTCGTGTAAAAAAAAAATCGAACTTCTCGCAGTGTTCCATGCCTCGCCTGAACCCGTATAAAAGGGGGACCAAGTTATTAGGTCAAATCGCAGGCAAAACACGACCGGAGAAAATTGAGAGTGAAACAAATTTGATTACACCTAAAATTACTCGTCGTTGTTTTTCGAAATGTTCATTGTGGAAAGACCGTTATGTTTCTTTGGCGTCTTCTGGGAGGTTTAATCGCCTTGAAAAGGTGAATGTCCCAGCTACCGGGTGACACAAGGAAAACAAAATTTAATGAATAGTCACAAAATTTGTTGTTAGACACATCACGTTTTAGACTGGTTTACAAAACCGGCGTCACTCTCAATTCACCCGAGCTTGAAACACTGTCAAAGTTCATGCTACAACATCTGGACGCGTTTCGGGAAAAAACACATGAGAAAATTCCAAAAGTTGTATTCCAATGTCTGAGACGGATAAAGATTGAATTAATTCAATCGCTGCAAATCGCCATGTCTGACTTAATATTCAATTACCTTTCACAAATCTTGAGAAGAATAACATAAGGCGTGCTTTAGTATTCTTTTCCTCTTCCTAACAAACATCAGCTTCAAGAGGCATTCTATTCCAATATCTCTGTGAAACGGTTTTAATGGATAATGGCCCAAGGTCTTTTTGGTCCGACAAGATTCAAAGATTTCCGGAATGTCATCATCTAGACCATTTAAACAGATTTATGTTCAAAACACGTGTTAAGAAGGCTTCCTGCAATATAACGTTTGAAATATTCTCATGTGTTTCCCCAGCTTGTATTATGAAGGAGCGTGTCTCAGGACGGCCTCGCTGTCCACGTATTTAATGGAAATGAGGAGGAAATATTACTCATTGTGGTTCATATTTGCTAAAGGTTTAATATTTAATACTGAATTGTGTTTACATAGGAACTATGGTGGACGACAAACCCTTAAGAGAACTTGGGACTGAAGTCGGTATTAAAAGGCTGTCAATAGTCATCACAATGTCTATTACAATTACAAGACCTCTTGAAAGTATAGTAATATTCACAGAATGATTAACACCTTCGTTAGAAACATCTGGTTATTTGTTGGAGTAAGTTCTAAAGTAAAATTAGTGCATGGTTATCATAGGATAATCAATTATGTCAAATTTGAGTCAATTTTGGCAAAAATATAAAGTCTATGATGTTACTACTGATTCAAGTGTCATTATTATATTCCTCCTTTGAAATCGTCTTAATTATGAACTTTAACATTTAAATCTGATCTTTATAGTGCGACCAGGGGTTGTACGTTAACAAAATATTTATTTTATATGATAAATATCAGTAAATATTATTTATAATACAGGATTTATTTCCCATATAATGTCAACATAGAGCATGTTTGCAAACAAAGGATTCCAAAGGGAAACGTTGTGAAATAGAGATATATGTAATATACAACCCCGGGCTTTGAAATTAACACTTTAAATGTCGGAGCATCATTTCCTTTCCATCGCTCGTCGAGACCTCGCAATACAAAAATGGATCAGTTTATCAAAAGGCTATGTCATGTCTTGTACAACGCACGGATCGCGTTGCTGAGAAAACACTCCGAATCTGTAAACATTGTTATTGTAAAATCTATTCATAATACTACCGTATTTGGTACGATTTGTGACACGCCTGTATTTGATAGGCAAAAGATCAGTGCAAATATTATATAATCTTTAACCACAGTATAAATGTGTACGTTTATTTTCCGGTTTCTTTTTAGGATAGTCTTTTTTCTGAAGCACGTTCTTAAGCTATGGGATCTGCAGTAGATTTCACTGAACGAAAATGTCTTTGGTTAGAATGTTTTAAAAATATTTTATATTTGTTGACATTGCGTTTAAACAGTATATTAAGATTTTGTGTTCGACAGGCATCATATTCAAACAGATTACAAGTTCTATTCCGTTATAAGTTGTTTGACAGATCTCATTAGCGAGATTGGTTTTCTTGCGATGTGTATCAAAAACTACTAAGTGTCTCTATAGTTTTATAAAGTTTATTGTCAGCTCCACTATAGTTCTCATATACATGTATCATGATTTAATTAGTGACCGTAAACATTAGTATCCTGAATAATTTTGATGTCGGTTTAATGTTAATTTGGTTAGGTGTTAGAAATTAACAACAAACCTGTCCCCAAAATAAATATATAATTATGAAACTATATTACAGGAATATTTATTGGATAACAGAGAAAATGGCGGATACATTATTTAAGAAAATGTGTGAAAATACTCTCAGGAGTATTGTCTCGGGAGTGTTGGTTACATGTAATAGACATTACACTTAGGTATCGTATAACAAATTAAGTTATCAAGGAGATATTTCTGTATCTAGAAGAGCCAGTCTTGTCATTTGTCGTGTAATTCTTCAAAAACAAATTAAATTTCATGAATGAACCAAGGAGATGGTTCTTTATGTGTTAAAGACAAGGGTCTTCCTGGAAGTGATTCTGTGGCACCTATATCCTGTAGAACACAACCATCAATGTAGAACATAACATTTGATTCCGTCTCAAGAGGGTTCCACGCGCCTCTTTAAGGACCGCTCAGTCGGACATGACTAGTCTGCTGACCAATTACTGACCAGTCCCATTTGTGACTTAGCATAAACCAAAGCCATCCCCTGTAGCTTCATCTCGTCAGAGAACCTGTCATTGGAACTATCATACTGTAAGGTATGGTAAGGAATGTGTCCATTAGAATCACATTGGTTTTCAGTGCTCACTTTCGTAAAACAAGCCCATGTATTGAAACTGTGGCATGATACCCCCCCATAGAGTCCCTCTCTTGAATCCCCCTTTCCCCCTGCGTGAGTCGACCAGTGTCTAGACAGAGGCCAATATTGAATAGATATCGATCTATCGATTACACTGGTCCGTGACGAGTGGTGTCTTGAACCTCTTGAAGACTTGGATTCCCCTCCCAGGAATGAACAAAACCAGGAATTTTACCAAACTTGGAACCAGCGTCTCTCTCTTTTGTTTGATTTAACTTAGAACATCGATTTCTGCTTTCTGGCTCACCACGTGAAAGACTTTAATTAAAACTCCATGTGTTGTGATTGAAAGCTGATAATTGGAAATGTATACATTTTCCCATGATGGATGGGTGCCAGTCGTTGCTGGCTATCCGAGCTAGCTTTCAAATTTAAATAATATTGGTGTTGAGAATTATGGGTGATAATACATCGTTCAATACGAAAATTTGGCATCTGTTTATTGAGTGTGAATCTCTTTTAAAGTTATCGATAAATGAAAAATAATTTACAAACAAAAATGTATAACTCACCTTTTTGTGATTAAACACTAAATGATGAGTGAAATTATACTTTTCTGATATGGTCAGATTATACTATATCACTTCAGCTGACATTTTTCAATTTTGCCAACAGAATCCTCTTTTAAACTCATTGCATAATAATACTTCGTTAAAATTTAAATTTACTACGTGCGTGAAATTCGACTAAATTGTAGCTTCATTTTTTTAAAAACCCTGAATAACATTCATTTAGTTTCACATGTCTAGTAGCCCTGTTATTCAATAACCCTTTCAATAAATACTCGAAAATGTATTTTCAAATGAGAACATCACCCACTTCGTTTTCTTATGAAATAGTTCCCCTAATTCAATCATAACATCTGTTTTGAAGAGCGTGTATTCCTTCATGCGATCTGTCAGACCCCAGAGCGCGCCACAACACGCTAGACTCACGTTGTGCGCATTCTAATTCCTGTTTCAAGACTAAACTAAACGTATCTTAAACGGTTCTGGTTGGATATTTTTAGGCATGTGTAAAACAATACTGTTTATCTCTATGCTTGGGAGATTACGCGTTTCTTATCGACGTCGCTCCATTCATACGTCCATGTGCTGGCTGTATAGCCTCATTTCCGGTTGAAAACATAAACATTTATCTAAAATACAACTATTTTCTTTCCGTTACATTTTCTCAAAAACGAAAATGGATTTTATAAAGATGTTTATCTGTTCGAATTCATATAGCGAAATGAATCTTTAGTATTGTATGGCTGTCATATTTTTTAAGGTACAAGGGTTAAGGCGATGATTCGGAGCATAATACCTTTCCATTTCTGAAATATGGACATAACAGCCGAAAAACGGATTAATGTTATTGGAAATCAACGTCGTCAATTCTCGACAATTGGAGTGATTCTCAGCGAGACGATGCCAAGTGGCTAGTCTTTATTGATTCTGAAATGCAAAGACGGTATTTTACTGTG